AACAACAAGTATTGTTATATATGACTTTTACAGTTATAAAAACACTCCAGTTATGTGATGCCCAGTCCTTTTTGTTAAAAAAAAATAAATGACTACAAGTACAGACATTGCTGAATTCATTAGAGACTCCATATTATGAAAGTAAATAAGAGCAGCACTGTAGCTAATTTAAACAGCGCTCAATCTTTTTGCACTAGTAAACATCTTTAGCTTTCTAATTAGCCATACGTCAGATGTGTTACTATATTTACATGATGCAATTTATATTCCTAACAAATTTAAACTAGCAGATTTCTTTCCTTGTGTCTCAAATTGGGAATTAGATACAACGTAACAATGAAATAGTAATTTAAAGGAACACTTCAGCCTTATAAAATCTTCATATCAATGTTCCTCAGCCACCTTTTACACCACCTTCTCACTTTTCTCCTAAGCCATTTGGCATTGACTTGAGCATGCAGTGATAGGCTTAAATATTCTCTGCCTTTAACTGTCTGCCCATTGCAAGTATTAGTACGTAGTATGGAGCCAGAGTAGCCCTTTAATTTCAGAAGTAAGTCTACCAAGTGCTATGGCCAGATAGAAATAGGTATATCTGACATTGAGCACGTTATTGAAGATGAAAGCTATCCCAAGATATTCCAAGGTAATCTATTGCATAAAAATTATTTAATGGCATCCAAGCATTCTTTTTATTTAGTGGGAAGGGGAATAATTCCTTCTTGGCTTAGTCTTGAACACATACTAAATGCATAACAGGGATCCTCAATTTAAAGAAACTCATCAGTAACTTATATATTTTGAGGTTTCCTTGCTTCGTGTTCCTGGTTTGAATTGAGATTATTCCCAAACAGACTTTTAAAGATCATTTACAATGAATTAGACTTGGTTGCACAGTGGATGTAAGAAAGTAAATTTAATAGATTGCTTACAAAGTTATTTGGGGCATGTTGAGTCACAAGGAGAAGGAGTGCTCAGGAGTTAATTCATTGTAAATGATCTTTAAAAGTCTGTTTCTATCTGGCCTTGGTAGACTTACCATATATAACTTGTCAGAATATACTAATTTGCCCAACACGCAGAACTTAAGTAAAAAAATTAAAAAAACCTTAAGACATATTATCGGGCCTTAGAACGACCGGATTTAACGTATAGAAGGAAACTACACAAGACAGGCTGAGGACACAGAAAACATGAAACCGTTAAGCAAGCCAAAGTTTGAGGAATATAGAAATCAGAATAGTCAGGAGCCAAGTCAAAGGTCAAGGGATACAGAGATCAGAATGTCAATAGGAAAGCCAAGGTCAAAATACACAAGAAACAGTACCAGAAACGCACTCTTGGATAACCAGAATGGAAACCACAACAGGGCACAGAGAAATGAAGGGAAATGGTTTAAATAGCCTAAGGTGCTCCTTGATTGGCTGCTTGATTGGCTGCTTAAAAGATTCTTACTTGCAGCGGCCGGTGTCTCTAATGATTATAGACCCAGCCGCTGTGTGAGGGGAGGAGTGCCTGTCAGTGGGCAGCAGGCATTGCAGGAGGAAAGTAATTGGCAGCATTCTCATTACCACGTGGGAATGCTGCCACAATGATATGGGCCCCACAACGCTCTCTGGCAGGAGCGGACTCGGCGGGCGGCGTGACAAAACTAAGATGATATGTATGTTCTACTAACAAACAGTTCCAGGCTCTTATAACTCGTCTCTCTGTCAACTTGTAGTCTTTATGTGTTGTCAGTGGTGTTTTGCTATTTTTGTGTATATGTATGCATGGTTATAGACTTTATTTTACTTTTAGGCATGACTAACCCAGTTATGGAAAAGTAAAAGCAAAAAAATGGTTTCTTTTAAAAATGATTTAATTTCCTTTAAAGCTCTCTGTAATCTTCATTAATATTCAGCTCTGACATAGAGGGGAGCTATTAAAAAAACATGTACACCAAATATAAAATACTATAAAAGATTATTAATTTAAAATCCAGAGATGTATGTATATCTCTGTATAATTATTAGACGTGTGCATGGTGTAAACATTTGATGTGGCTAAATCCAATTGTCCAAAGAATTGTAATGTTCGGGTAATCCAAATTTGTCCACGTGTCATTTCAGCTTGAGCAAATTTCCTCCATGTAATTGTTTTAGAAAAAATAATTTGGACAAACCAAAAGGCAAAGAAAATGGGCCAATCAGTTCCTATTTCTATGTCATTTTTTTGTATGGCATGAGCACACTTGTCTGCCTGTTTATCTCATGTAAGTCAGTGTCCTTTAGTTGCAAGATGTCACATTTGTCAATGTTGATTGGCATTTCTGAGAAAAAATAAGAAAGATGCAAGGGAATTCAAGGTAAGTTTCCTAGGACTCTGAATCTTACAATACTGTGCTGTGGTTATGGTGACAGAAGTGTCAATTTTTAATAGATATCATCTACTGCAGACATTCTCAGGACAGAACCTGCTAGGACATGATTTAATTTGGTGCAGGCCTCAATAAACTCCTAATAGCAACAAACCTTGCCTCAGGCATTTTATTTTTTAATGACTGTTCATGTCTGTGTGAATCATGTAGTCGCTGACTAGCTCTCTAGAACTTGCTAGCAAGGGGGAGTGACCTATGGCTTCACTTCTGCCAAAGCAACTCCACGTTATTACCTGAAATATATTGCTCGCTGAAAAGGAAGGACGTCACATCTAGTTTGCTGCAGGTCAATCCTGCTAGTTTGAAATTACAATGTAGGTCTTAATGGAAACACAAAATATTTTATTTCTTTTATTTTCACCAATTGATGGCTTTTTTTTCATTATGACTTTACCTTGTATATGTAAAACATATATAGTCAGAAAAATCTCATGTATGAGTATAATGTCAACAATGGGATTTAAGAGGATTTAGGATGTACTGAGTGCAAAGTTATTTAAATTCGAATTCAACATGTCAGTTTAACTCTGCAACACAGACTGTCCAGATCTAGAGAAATAAGCAGTTGTATAGTAAAAACCAAACCTATACAAGACGCAGCCAATGTCAGCTAATCACACAAGCATAGTTGAGCTGACATGCAGAGTACCAGCAAGTTATTGGGATAATTTAGCAAATTGTTGGTTTCATATAAAACTTATTTAGACCTGACGTCAATGCAAGGTCTTCCAGATCTACGTCAATACTTAGGAATTTCTAATACAATTCAAACAGAGATTTATTACCTCCTATTGATAAGTGGCGCATCCAAGGCAACCCAACAAAGACCAGGTTATCTACTAACGTGAGAATACAAAGTAAATTGACAGTGAACTTCATGTTTCAAGCCAGAGTAGCTAAACTGAAAGCATACCTGACTTCGAGATTTTTTCAGTTTGTCTATTTTGGCCTTAAATATGAAATTTATTTAGAATTTTCTTTTAATTCCACTTTATTTAATAACCCTTATAAAGTAATGCCATTAGTTTTTGCCTGTTTCCTCACCTTAGTAGCTGTAGGAAATACACAGCCAGTCTTGCATAAAGTTCTGACTCTGTGTTTGCTGTTAATACAACTGCAGAAGAGTCTTGAGTAAACTGCATTATTGAATGAATATTATGTAACTTTGTATAAGTTGATTATTGTTGTGAAGTGTTCATCTCTTTCTGTTTGCAGTTATGAGTTCAAGGTTTGTTTTTTTACTTCAGGCTTAGACCACAAATAAAGAATTGTGAATTTCATTATGAATTTCTTTATACATTATGACTGAATAAAGACTCATTTCAAATCAGAGAAACATATTTTGAACGAACTGTGAATCACATTGGTCATTTAAAAATGCAATTAAAGGGACATTATAGGCACCCAGACCACTACATCTCATTGAAGGGGTCTGGGTGCAGTGTCCCTGTCCCATTAAATCCTGCAATGTATTACATTGCAATTTTAGAGAAACACTACCAGACAGCCACCAGATGCGCTTCAGGGAGTATACCGGACTCTAGGTTGTCTGACACTGAACATCCTCACGCTCTGCATGAGGACATTGAGCGTCAGTGATATCCCCATATAAAAGCATTGAGGCAATTCATTTCTATAGGGAGGGCCTTATGTGCTTGCAGCTCTTGCTGAGCATGCATACAGCTCCCTCGCCGCTTGTTGTATGCAGATAGGCGCCCGACCCACTGGACCCCAGGGACAAGTCCACGCCGGCTCTCCAGATAGGGAGGCTGGGTGGACAATTTTGTATTAAAAAAAATAATAATTTGTGAATGTGTGTGTATGTGTGTGAGTGTCTGTGAGTGTGTGTGTGTCTGTGAATGTATGTGTGTGTGTCTGTGAGTGTATGTGTGTGAGTGTCTGTGAGTGTGTGTGTCTGTGAATGTATGTGTGTGTGTCTGTGAATGTATGTGTGTGTGCCTGTGAATGTATGTGTGTGTTTCTGTGAGTGTATGTGTGTGTGCCTGTAAGTGTGTCTGTGAGTGTGTGTGTGTTTTTGTGTGTCTGTGAATGTATGTATGTGTGTGTGCCTGTAAGTGTGTCTGTGAGTATGTGTGTATGTGTGTGTCTGTGAGTGTATGTGTGTGTGAGTGTGTGTGTCTGTGAATGTATGTGTGTGTCTGTGAGTGTATGTGTCTGTGAGTGTATGTGTCTGTGAGTGTGTGTGTCTGTGAGTGTGTGTGTCTGTGAGTGTGTGTGTGTGTGTGTGTGCGCGTGAATGTATGTGAGTGTATGTGTGTGTGCCTGTAAGTGTGTCTGTGAGTGTGTGTGTATTTGTGTGTCTGTGAATGTATGTGTGTGTGCCTGTAAGTGTGTCTGTGAGTGTGTGTGTGTGTGTGTATGTGTGTGAGTGTGTGTGTCTGTGAATGTATGTGTGTGTCTGTGAATGTATGTGTGTGTCTGTGTCTGTGAGTGTGTGTGTGTGTGTCTGTGAGTGTATGTGTCTGTAAGTGTGTGTATGTGTGTGTCTGTGAGTGTATGTGTGTATGTGTGCCTGTAAGTGTGTGTGTGTATGTGTATCTGTGAGTGTATGTGTGTCTGAATATATGTGTGTGTGTCTGTAAGTGTGTGTGAGTGTGTGTACGCGTATATATATATATATATATAAATATATATATATATACACACATACATACATACACACACACACACACACACACACACACACACGAGTGTATATTATTTTTTTTGGGGGGGTTGGAATCTTGGGAGAGTTCCCACACTTTATTCCCCAGGACATCATAGGCGTGCGCACGGGGTGTGCCCCCTGTTTCACCTCTTGCCCCTGTCATGGGAGGGCAAGAGGTGATGATTCCACCCACCCTGCAGTTCAGCCACGGCGAGGGAGCTCTCTGCTGTCTGCTCCCTCTCGCCGCGCGCTGATGCCGGGAGCCGGAATATGACGTCATATTCCGGCTCCCAGCTGCAGCAGACAGCCCGCGCGGCGAGAGGGAGCAGATAGCAGAGAGCAGAGAGCTCCCTCGCCGCGGCTGAACTGCGGAAAGGCGCCCGCCCCCACTGGACCCCAGGGAAAAGTCCACCAGCACTCCAGGTAGGAGGCTGGGTGGACATTTTTTTTTTAAAATTAAAATATAATAATTTGTGTGTGTGTGTGTCAGTGTGTCTGTGAGTGTGTGAGTATGTGTCAGTGTGAGTGTGTGTCTGTGAGTGTGTGAGTGTGTGAGTATGTGTCAGTGTGAGTATGTGTCAGTGTGAGTGTGTGTCTGTGAGTGTGTGAGTATGTGTCAGTGTGTCTGAGTGTGTGAGTATGTGTCAGTGTGTGTGTGTCTGTGAGTGTGTGAGTATGTGTCAGTGTGAGTGTGTGTGTGTCTGTGAGTGTGTGTGTCAGTGTGTGAGTGTGTGTCTGTGAGTGTGTGTGTGTCTGTGAGTGTATGAGTGTCTGTGAGTGTGTGTGTGTCTGTCTGTGAGTGTGTGTGTGTGTGTGTCTGTGAGTGTGTGTGTCTGTGAGTGTGTGTGTGTCTGTGAGAGTGTGTGTGTGTATATATATATATATATACACACACACACACACACGCGCGGCGTGTGTTTGTGCTTTAGGGTGCACACCCTAATGCAATAGGCTGTGCACGCCTATGCAGGACATGACCCCTGCCGGCAGGGGAGATCTCTGGATCTCCCCTGTCGGCTCATGCAGAGCTGGCGCTATCTGAGTGCCGGATCTGCTCAAAGCCTCCATGGGCCAGTGGGGAGATCAAAGATCTACCTCACCAGCCAATAGCAGCATGGATGGAGGCAGGAGAGGACCCGGCGAGCTCTAGACAGAAGCTCCGCCAGGTTCCTCTCGCGAGATCTGAGCGACAACGCTCAGATCTCGCGAGAGTGAACTCTAGCCCCACAGGCAAGAGTTCACTTTCCCTTGGACAGCAAGGATCCCCTCTCCCTACATAAGGTAAGAAGGGATGGGGGTTATTTACTAATCTGCTCCCACCTTTACAATCCCTCCAAACATACAGCACACACATACAGCACACACATACAGCACGCACATACACACAGCACCTACACACATACAGCACCCTAACACAAACAGCACCCTAACACACAGCACACAAACAGCACCCTCACACACACACAGCACCCTCAGTAACCGAGCATTCTCACGCATACACACACACACACACACACACACAGCGCCCTTACAAACACACATCACCCTCACACAAACAGCACACTCACACAAACAGCACCCTCACACACACAGCACACTAACAGCACCCTCACAAATACACAACACAAACAGCACCCTCACACACACACACACACACACATCACACAAACAGCACCCTCACACACACAGCACACTAACAGGACCCTAACACACATAGACAAACACCCTCACTCACAGCACACTACCAGCACCCTCACACACACACACACACACAGAGCACACAAACAGCACCCTCACACACAAACCGCACCCTCACACACAAACCGCACCCTCACACACAGCACACTACCAGCACCCTCACCCACATAGCACACTACCAACACCCTCACACACACACATCACACTAACAGCACACACACACACAGCACCCTTACACACACAGCACCCTCACACAGCGCACTAACAGCACACACACACACACACAAACAGCAGTATATGTACATACACACACATGCGGCGTGTGTTTGTGCTTTAGGGTGCACACGCTAATGCAATAGGCTGCGCACGCCTATGGGAATACAACTTTGTATTCCTAACACTGTAAAATCCTTTTAACAACAGAAACTTTACAGCAAAATTACAAGGAAAGAATAAAACAAAGTCTAAAATATTTGATTTTGTGTTGTGCCAAGCTGTTCCTAAATTCCATGTATAATTTAGTCGTGTGCTAGTCATATCTCATAAGTGCATTATAAGTGTTCAAATGTTACAGTTGTTACTTTTTTATTAGATCATATTGATGTAAACATTTATGTAAACCAATAGCTTCCTAACTGAATCCTATCTTTATGCTAGATTAAAATGTGATTGAATTATTTGGATCTTAAAGAGTCCAAATAATTCATATTTATTATTCGAGGGTAATAAAAAGGTTGATCTGCAAGAATATTTTTTCTTTGAATGAAAGATACTGAAAACTAAGGCTCTTTCTATATCTCAATTGCCCAGGGCCATACATATATCAACTCCTGACCACCTCTAATACACATTATATACAGTGCATGAGTGCACATTGAGTGGCTATTATTTGCCCTTAAAAATATGAGACATTATGCTTCGTGGAAAAAATCTGGTAAATGTTTTGCTTGTGAAATCATGTCTTGTTTTTTGCCCTTTTCCCGAAAAAAAAAAAATGAATAAATGAATGAGTGGAAGGCCAAAATCAATGAATCAATGCAATTCTATTATCTAGTTCTAACTGTGTAACTGCAATTAAATAGAAGGGTTCACAATTAGTACAAATTAAGAAACAGTGGGAAAGAATGTTATGACTTCAATCCTTATTCAGAAAAATGAAATCTGGCCAGTATGTGTACAAATCATTAAACCACTGACACAGTTTAGTAAGTATTTGCCTCATTAAGTTAAGCATTCCCCATAAAACGTAGAAACCTTCTAGGGAGATGTTTTATAACCATTTGTAACTATGGGAACTGTTAGAGCTCTGCTATCAACTGTACTTTTTAAAATTAATATATGGATCTATCTGGAACTAAGCATGTAATGTTACAATTGTTGTAGCTTAAGTTTGCATATTGACTGATGTTTATACATTTAGCATTTCATTTAAATAAGAAAAGCCGCATTGATATGTGGATTGGGGTCATTAAGTGCCATCCACCCACACATGCCTCTGACTGAGGAAATAAGCTTTCCTAGGTCATTAATTACATAAATTCAAGCTTTTAAAAATGAATTTATTTTATAAACATGTTAGATGTCTTGACATCAAGAGAACCTTTGCCCATCAAAGGAAGTATGGAGGAGCACAGAACATCTATTGAAATCTACTGATACGTTTTGGACGGATTTAACCAAAATACAATTTGAAAAATGATAACAAGGTACATAACAAATTATTTCGTTATTAAAAAGTGAGTTGTGATGTTGTAGCAGTTGACTTGCATATTTCTTACCAAAATAGCCAAATTAGAATAATATTGTACAAAATCAATTACACGGTTATATAAGTTCAAGACCACCTTATGAACATTGTTTTCCTATTGCTGAAAACCTATGAGTGTGTTTCCATGGTTGTAGTAGAAATAGATCAGTTATAAGCAAAAATCTTCTACAACACAATACACAGTCTTCTATTTTAAAATCTGTATGTTAGTTATGTTCTCTTTCAATGGTTTTGTCTTATTGCTGTGTATTTACCATTTTGCAGTTTTTATGACAAGCACAAAGCATGGTTCTGAGTTTATTACTTATCATCATACTATAACAGGCCTTATTAGCTCCACATCCTTCAACGGTGTACATTTCATTGAGCCATTTCTACTTTTTTAATCCCATCTATATTCTTTCATTTTATTTTTGGAAGGAGAAGCAGGAGAGAAGCCATGTGAACTAGGTGAGCGTCCTGTAATGCATAGTTAGATAACAACATAATTCAACAAGGCGGTTATATTTTCTGATAAAACCAAAAATAAAAAATGTGATAGTGCAAACTCAAATTGTATTTTACCTTTTCATAAAATATTCACGGACAGGTCCTTTTTGTGGAAAAAGCAATTAAATGTGGACCCATGCTACATAACAGACATGCATGATCTCTGCCTGTGGAGATATTTGATGCAAGTTGTGGGGAGGTCGATATGCTGTCTGGGAGAGGCAAACAACTGTGTGTTTTTTAATGTAATAGCTTACTATATTCATTCATCTCTAGATGGTTCTTTAATTAGTATTCTCCCATGGGGCGCAAGTAGACTCGTTCATTATTACTCTGCAGATCAACCTGCCTCCAGTCTACGCTAAATAATGCCAGGACACATCACATGGCAAATCCTGCTTCATTGGGGAGAAAACCACTAGATGGTTCTTAATTCCTAATTCACCAAAGAACAATCTAGTTTCAATAATTCTATTAAAGGAACACTACAGGGTCAGAAAAACAGACATCTAGCCCTCCTGCCCTCCCCTCCCTCCTACCAACACACCTAAATATAGTATAATCTTACTTTTAGTCAAGCCTGCAGCTGCTGGCTCTGCCCCTGTTCAACCTGCTTGGCTGACATAATCAGAAGTGATTCTCAGAGCCAATCCCAATGCTTTCCCATAGGATTGGCTGAGGCTGTCAAGGAGGCAGATCAGGGGCAGAGCCAGCACAAGTCAAACACAGCCCTGGTCAATCAGCATCTCGTCATCATGCATCTCTATGAGGAAAGTTTAGTGTCTCAATGTAGAGGGTGGAGACCCTGAATGGAAGTGCTGCATAATGCATTGCCCTATGAGGCTTTTCTAGTAGCCATCTGAGGAGTGGCCAGTGGAGGTATCTCCTAGGCTTCTCTGAAAAGACAGTGCTTACTGCAAAAATCCTAAAGGGAATGGTTATACTTACCAGAACAAATTCAATAAGCTGTAGTTGTTATGGTGACTATAGTGTCACTTTAAGTAAATTATTTGGGTGAAATGGCAAGACATTCAATAGGTTTAAAGTGGATCTTTTACATCTCCACTGAGGACATCATGACATCATGCCT